ATCCTATCGAAGATGCTTCTGGATAGGTCGCCTCTGCTGGGGAGAGTGGTACGGTCATAAAGGTGTGGGCGTCTGAGGACGGGCAGCTGCTGCATGAATTAAGACGGGGCACGACAAACACCCTCATATGTTGCCTTAGTTTCAGTGAGTCAGCTAAGCGTCTAATTAGATGTCCCATGTAGAGTATTGCTACAGGAGACGATGACCAATACCTTGTCTCGTCTTCGAGTTCTAACACAGTGCATGTTTTCCGTTTGGCATCTGCTCGCCACAGACGCTCTGGTAGTGGCTCCCAAGGTATGTTAACTACCAAGCAGTACCGGCCTGCGAATCCGACTAGGTTCGCAGCTGCCAGTGACGTTAGGGCCGACGCCACCCGAAGGCTCGCCACCACCTTCAAGACCTCGGTCTAGCTCGACTACGGCTGCGTATGATGGAGTGACTCCATTGGAGTCCATCTTATCAAGGTTCTATATTTGTTGCAGGTCGCTTTCTTCAACCCTACTATCTTATGCTACGTCTGCTGTAAACTATGTAGAGCAGCATACAACCACACTTCTCCAATTACGAGGCGGCACGCCGGAGCAGACCCAGGCCGCGAAGCAGTCCCTCGCGAACACGTTGCCGATAGGGTACGTGTCACTGCACTGAGTTGTTCAATCCATACGCTACTCACTCAAGTTTAGAGAGAGTATGTCTACTTTGTCGTTTTGGACTATGTGCGAGAGGGATGGTTCTTTCTCCCAGGTACTTCAAATCAGCACGATCCGTTGCCCAGTTTCATCTCCCTGATATTGATCCTGCTACTGGAAAGACATCCGTAGATCTCCGTGCCGTATCAGGGGGACTGGTGAAAGCGAACGTTGGGGAGAGCGTGCCTATCAGCGGTGGGATTGTTGCTCATTCTGGCGGGCTCTGACTGTGTTCCCTCTCCAGGCCCGTTGGTGTGCTTTTCTAAGACGCACCTCAACAGGATCTACGTATTCCACTACAACGGCTTGCGATATGAGTGTGAGTTTGATGATGATGATGTCGAAGTATTGACAGGAGGTTCTGGAGAAGGTGAGCTATGGCTTTATATCACTTTGCATTCGAGCTCGTGATGGTTGGGACACTGCATTCTGCCTATCGCGGATGCAACTTCACCATGTGAAGCATTGTTGGTGCTGCGGTGATAGACTTAGATGTCGTCTAGTCAATCACTCCGGTTCACTATTTAATTGCTAGCAGCAGTCTCCTTCCTTCTCAGTGCCCACCTCAACAGCAATGCATCTGATACAAGCTATAACATTCTTCGCTTCGAGACCTGATTTCCACATGGATAATACGGCATCAAAGACCGATCCTCCAGTAGATGTTGGTGAAGGACCCTGGCAGGTCGTATAGAATATCTGCCCAGTGAATGAAGGAAATCGATACTAGGAAATATTCTGTTGGTTGCAATTGGAGTGATATCTTGCTTTACTTTGTCATGAAGAAAACTCGGAGTTAAGTTGAAGTATATCCTCTCAGTGAAGTCCTCTGTTCGTAATATTGTCTGCAGTACACTTGAGTTCCCCCTCCGTTACTCTGAATCCTATCACGAAACTTGACAGTTGACAAATTTGCATAGGCTGTTGCCTATAGCCTGGAGTATCCAGCAAATTATCCGTGTGACAGAGCCA